AACACGCCCGGAGTTTCTGGGTCAAAGGTCACTACCGTTTCGCGTAGCAATAGTTAATTCTAGAATCAGAGGCCGCACTAGCTTATATTGTCGAATGCACTTATACAGATTCTGAGTCGGACCCAATAAGTCCCGGGAAAGGCTATCCAAACAGGGAATGCGCGTTATAATTCCTAGACAGGATATTTACTAGACGCCCTAACTATTCCGCGGTTCCCGCACAAAATTAACAGCGTGCAAACATTAGCACATCCGGCCGATGACTGACTCGCTTGCGACCCGCGCGCCACTGCCACGCCCCAGACGAAGTTCAAACCGGAATCGCGCCGAGCTGAGTGACATCTGGTGTCGACTCCGACATCAACGTTTTGCGCGAACAATCATGTTTTAAGCAATGCCGGCGCATACTTTAATGCTAAACTTGCCCCTAAGTTCATCAAGTGTAAAGTGATAGATAAACTGTCACCACTAGTCTATGTACTTGAAGACCCTAATGGAGTTAGAGGCAAGTGGCACATCAAAGATGTAAAATCATAAATTTTCTTAACTTTTATTAACTATTAATTTGTATATATGTATAAATATCACCATCATTCTCACCTTATTATTTTTATTTCTTTTAATTTGTTTGTTTGTTTGATGATCCAGTGTTCTTCAACACATCTTGCTTTAGGACCTCGAACTTTCGTTGGTTAATCGTCACTTTTTATTATTATTTCAGACACATCTCGTTGGTGATGTTGCTGTTTTCTGGCTTTGAGCCCTACCGCTCTGGCCGTTCTTAATCTTTACTTAAGTCATAGCGACTAAAGCTTACTTGAGGTATTTCTTTATCTTTATCTTCACTTGGGAGCGGCTGATTACTCCCTTAATAATTTTTTTTTATCTTCACGCAGGAGCGGATGACAACTCCTTAAATAAGCCTGAATGTCCTTTCGAAAACACACTTTTAAGAGTGGTGTTTCTTCGACTAATTTATTTTTTTTTCCACGCAGGAGCGGATGACTACTCCTTAAATAAGCCTTAATGTCGTTTCGAAAACACACTTTTAGAGTGGTAGTCATTGAATGTGAACTCCACCCTTACCTGAATGGCAGATGCTGTATGTAAGAGATAGTATATCTGATTTTGCCTGGTGATGTCTGTTTCTGCAAAGCTGTGTTTTTATGGTTTATTTTAGAATGTATATATCAAAATTTTTGCTGAGTCAAAAATTTTCCAGGGTCGGGGGGAAAATGTAGTGTTATACTACTTACGTATCATTTTACATTATTTTAAATTCATTTTTCCATTCTGTTTCGATTTTCTGCATTCACCTCAAAACTGGATATTTTACATCACCTTTATTTCGATAGGATCCTGTAACGATTTTAAACCATAAGAACACAATAACAAATCATTTCTACTTCGTATTTTCACATTATCAGCACTTTTAAATTGGTGTCAATGGAGTCTACCTTTTTTCGATCTTTTAGCTAGTTTTCCGTAACTCTACAATCTTGTGTGGGCAGCTGCGCTACCTTTTTTCCTATATCAATAATATCTCATTTTCCACTTAAATCTTACCGTTTTCTTATTATAAACCAAAAACAAAAATTTGACATGTTTTGTCTTTCTTATTTATATCGTTTCCATGGTAATTATATTCAAATTTGCTACCGATCTGTTATTCCTATTTCGATAATTCCACATAAATCCTCTTTTCTCTTGACCATTTACAAAAAATTTGCGTATAATTTAAATAATTTTTCCGTTCTCTCTAGAAAGGTATAAAAGCCGAACAATCGGTGAAGAAAGGCAGTCTCGCTTCAGTTCGCGAATTGGAAGTATCTCCTAAAGGCCTTATCCCGGGGCCGCACTGCCCCGGGATCCTGCAAGCCTCCATTTACACGTGAAGTCTTCGGCGAAGCCTTCTTCAAACTCGGGTCGCTCCACTCCGGAATCCTGCAAGCCTCCATCTACCTCGGAAGTCGCTTCGAGTCTACTACAAGCGCGGGGGCCACACTACTCCGGGCACTACTACTACTTACTCCAGGCGCCGAGTGCACCTACCGCCGGCGCTACCTTTGGGCGCTGCAACTGCTGGCTCTAAGCGTTGCGCGCCCCTTCTCCAGGCGCTACGTGCGCCGGCTCCGGACGCTGCGTGTACTGGCTCCAGGCGCTGCGCGCCGTCGCTGCTAAGAAACCTACTTCTACAAGCGCAAACGGCGTGTGCTGGCTTCAGGCGCTGCGTGCCGTCGCTGCTAAGAAACCTACTTCTACAAACGCAACGTGTGTCGCTTCGACTTTTAGGCCCCACTACAACACTATATTCCCCTATTCTCTTATCTTTATTTTTTTATAATCTAATTGTACTCTCACTTCATTCATCATCATCCTCATTTCATTTTTTTATAAAATTGTAAATACCTTTTATAAATTTAAATATATTGTTTTCTGGCTCTACTTTTGTTGTTTTGTTGTACTTAGGTTAGGTTCTCTATTTTTTTTTAATTGTCGCTTCACGACACAGTGTAACATTGTGTAATCCACCAGGTTAGTCAAAACCTCAGTTCGTAGGGTATTTTAAAGTGAAAACTTGATATTTGGAGCTATATATGTGAACCGTAGAAGGAAATAAACTACTTTTTGTCTGTATATGTATCTTAGCATTTTCATTTACTAATCATCCAACAACAGGCGCCCTGGGATACTTTTATTTTGATCCTCGAGTCCCTTGACTCTCCGATAACCGTAGCCGGTGAGTAACGCCCTAAAAAGTGTTATAAAGTCGCTACCCAACGTTGAACCTTAAGTTGCTGGATGTTAGTAGATGAATTAACCTTAATTGTAACTATTTAAGCTGTTAAAAACCCATTTAATATGAAAACTTAGTGAAATTTAATGTTAACATTTTTTTTTCTGATGTAGGTAGATTTAAGTAAGCTTGAGACCAAAGAAAGTTTAACTTGAATGTGATTTATATGTACTTAAATGAATTAAAACTTAACATAATAAAAATATTTGTGCTATTTTAAGTAGATATTTTTAATATCAACCGATTTAAGACTTTCTTATAACCGTCAGTACATTTTAACAAAATGTCGATCCACAAGTATATAGACTCATTACATAAAGATGAAATCAGATATGAACTCGCCATTATTGGTATTTCCACAGATGAAAATGTAACCACCGATGCAGTGAGGAAGCAGATCCGCCAGGTGTACAAACTCGCACGCCGTGGAAGCATAAAGTGTGAACCACTCCAGTCACCCAGTATAGCCTCTGAACTAGAGATCTGCACCCCAAAGGTCGAACTTCTGGAATCCCAGCTGCAGGCGGGTAAAGTAGATGATCGCAATTTGACTCTTAAACTGTCTCGTCGTGCAAATTATTTGATGGATAGACTAGCTCGTATCTCTGAAAGTAGTTCGCATTTGTCAGATCTCCGTAGTCGTTTGATTCGCATTTTGAGTGTCATAGACGGTGAAGATAGCGACACGGATAGTGAGTACAAGGAAACCCGGGCACAGGCGTCTAACTAGAAAGTGGAAAGTAACGTGATCTATGTGAAACATAAACCCTTGAACCTAATTACATTTAACTTAAAATTTGACGGAACCACGTGTGTTCGTGTATTTATTGAACGTCTTGAGGAACTTAAAGAGGCTCGCAACATTACTGAAGCTCGCATACTTTCAGCTTTTTCTGATCTTTTAGAAAACTCGGCTTTATGTTGGTTTAGAAGTAATAAGGATAATATCCACTCATATTCACAATTATTGAAATGCTTAAGGGACGACTTTGATATTCCCGATTTAGACTATAAACTATTAAATGAAATAAGGCAGCGTACACAGGCCAGACACGAAACGATAGTAGTCTATCTTTCCATTATGCAGGGAATGTTCTCGCGACTCACTCAGCCGTTGTCGAGTAGACAACAACTCGAAATCTTGATGCATAACATTAGACCAGAGTACATGAAAGATTTAGCTTTACATGATATAACCTCTGTAGACAAACTTAAACTTTATTGCAAACAGTTAGAAATAGCGCGGTCGCGTGCGGAACAATTTAGTGAACCTAACTTGAATAACTTTAAAATTACAGCGGACTTAAATAAACAAACGCCGCGATCTCACATTAAACAAGTCTCTGTGCTGAATGAAGCTGGCTCTTCGAGGCAATTGGATAGGAAATGCTTTAGGTGTGGATTAAACACTCATTTCACCAATCAATGCAATTCGAAAGAGTTAGTGTGGATTAAAAGGTGTTAAGCGTTCAGATTGTAGTAATTGCAATTCAAAAAACTAGTTAACACGGAACTATCTAACAACTTTAATAAAAATAGGTCTTATAAGTCCAATAATGAAGAGGTAGTTCTGTTTAAAAAAAATACTAGGGATATAAGACCATACTTAAAATTAAAAATATTGAACTTACAAGCTTTTGGCTTATTAGATTCGGGTGCAACTTGTAGCATTCTTGGAAATAATGCGCATTTGATCTTTTTAGAACACGGATTTCAACTCAACTGGTTTGACACTGAGCACTACGTGAGAACTGCTGATGGTACGAGATTGCATTGCTTAGGGTATATGTCCTTACCTATTGAATTTAACAATAATTTCAGAGTGATTAACTTTTATGTTGTTGCACAAATAACTTCACCTATAATTCTAGGTGTTGATTTTTGGCAGGTGTTTGACTTAGGGAGTGACCTTGTATCCGAAGTACAGTTTGACCGAAAGTCGGAGTCATCAATATGTAATAGCATAAATTCGGTTTCTCTTAATAAAGGCCTTGAAGAATACGAGTCTTTATCCATAGAACAAAAACAAATCATGGATAAGTTAGTACAACAGTTTGATACAATTAACACAGTTAAAGTAGGTTTGGGACGTACCAATTTAATTCATCACGTCATAGACACAGGGGATAGCAAACCTATTAAGCAAAGGTACTATCCATTATCGCCTGTTAAGCAACTAGCACTTGAAAAAGAATTGGATAGAATGCTTAGTTTGGGAGTTGTGTCACCTTCACAGTCAGCTTGGAACTCAACTGTAGTAATGGTTCAGAAGCCAAATGGGGACCTAAGGCTTTGTCTAGATTGTAGAAAATTAAATGCAGTTTCCAAACCCGATGCGTATCCTCTCCCGTATATAAGCAGCATATTGGACCAGCTCCGCGACGCGAAATACCTAACGTCAATAGATCTTTCCGCTGCGTATTGGCAAATACCCTATGATAGCGAGCAATCAGCTGATAAGACCGCGTTCACAGTGCCACGTAGGGGGTTATTTAGATTCAATGTAATGTCGTTTGGCCTTGTTTCCGCGTCAAGCACAATGCAGAGATTAATGGATAGGCTATTTGGTCCCGAATTTAACAACAAAGTATTCTGTTTCCAAGACGACATAATCATAATATCCAGCACTTTCTCAGAACATGTGCAGCTCTTGCATAAGGTCTACGCAAAATTCAAGGACGCAAACTTGACTATAAACATGGATAAGTCTATCTTTTGCCGTAGAGAACTTAAGTACTTGGGATATTTAGTTGAAAAACATGGACTTAGAACTGATCCGGGAAAGGTAGACATTATATTGAATTATCCAACTCCAACTTCCGCTAAAGAGGTTAAAAGGTTTCTAGGCATGGCAGGCTGGTACAGGAGGTTCATTAACAATTTTTCGAAAATTAGTAAACCGTTGAATAAATTAACTAGCAAAAATGTCCGCTTTGAATGGACTACGGAGGCAGATGAGTCATTTAACCACTTAAAAACCGCTTTAGTGTCTGCTCCGATACTTAAATGTCCAAACTTTGATTTGCCTTTTTCTATCCATTGTGACGCTTCCTCAGTGGCTGTGGGCGGAGTCTTAACCCAGACTTATGACGGGGTAGAACATCCCATAGCATACTGCAGTCGGTCTCTTGCCAAAAATGAAATTAATTTTTCCACATCGGAGAGAGAACTTATGGCCGTGATTTACGCATTAGAGCAATTTAGATCTTATGTAGAAGGTACAAAGTGTAAAATAATAACCGACCACGCCTCGTTATTATGGTTTTATAAATTAAATAACCCATCAGGTCGCTTAGCCAGGTGGAGCATGCGATTGAGTCAATTTGATTTCGAAATAGAACACAGAAAAGGTAAATTAAATGTTATTCCAGACGCACTAAGTAGGATTCAAGTTGATGCAATCGCTACGCCAGCAACCAGTGATGCGTGGTATAGACATGTATACGAAGATTGTCAGGCCAACCCTCGCAAATATCCCCACTTCATGGTAAAAGACGATAGATTGCTTAGGTACTCTAAAAATAAATATGAGTTAACGAATGAGTTTAATTGGAAGTTAGTGGTACCCGAGGAAGACAGGTTAGATATTTTAAAGAAATGTCATGATGAACCAGTTAGTGCTCATTTGGGTGTCTTTAAAACCCACAAGCGTCTTAATCTAAATTATTACTGGCCCAGCATGTACCGAGATGTGAAAGAATATGTTAAAAAATGCGAGATATGTAAACAATACAAACCCGTCAACACGGCTAGACCTGGTTTAATGAGAAACCCGAAGGAGTTTAACAAACCCTGGGAGGCCATATGTTGCGATTTGCTAGGCCCATTTCCGGTTTCTCGCAATAGGAATATTCACTTAATTGTATGTACAGACTATTTTAGCAAGTATGTCATGTTGCATCCTATACGGATCGCAACAGGCGCTGCGGTCGCTAAGTTCATAGAAGAGAAAGTGTTCCTAGTACATGGCGTATGTAAGACTATCTATATTGACAATGGCCCACAGTATGTGTCTAATCAGTTTAGGCAACTGTTACATAAATATAACGTACCGAATATCTATTAACCCGCGTTATCACCCACAGGTAAATCAAGCCGAAAGAGCGATTAGGAACGTAGTTAACGGTATATCATGTTATGTAGGTACCGAGCATAAACGATGGGACGAGAACATCCCACAGTTGCAATGCGCACTTAATTCAGCCGTGAATGATACCACTAAGTTTACTCCGTATTTTCTTGTGCACGGACGGGAATTCATAATAGATGGAATGTTACACAGCTTAGATAGCACTCAGCCAGTTCAAAGATCACAAGTAACTCTCGGTGAACCACAAGCATACAGTAAAAAATTAGCGGAATTAGACACCATATTTAAAAAGGTACAAAAGCATATTAAAAATGCTCATTCTAGAAATGAAAAGTACTATAACTTAAGAAAACGACATGTTGAGTTAAAAGTAGGTCAGATTGTATATAAACGCACCCATTACCTATCTAATGCCTCAAAGAGATTTACGGCTAAACTAGGACCAAAATTTCAAAAATGTGTCATAACAGCGAAATTATCACCTTTAGTGTATACCTTAGCCAGCATGGAAGGTAAGACACTAGGTAATTTTCACATAAAAGACATCCTTAAACAAGATGACTAATAGTTTTGTAGAATGTGAGTGATGAGTATGATTGAGTGAAAGAATGTAAGAATAATAAACATTTTCAAAATTCATTTCCACCGGTGAACTTTCTGAGATAAATAAGCTGTGATTGTATTGATGAACGAGCGATACATAACTAGTAGGTCATCTTATGTTGTGGACATCGGCGCGAGTTAGATAAAAATTTGTTCTTTATGTCCGCACTCTGGACATTATATAAGAAAATGCATACCAACCAGTGCGTAGCATTACTTAAGCTGTTTCTTTTAACTTAATATGATTAAACGTTAATTCACTTAACTTAATGCGAGATAGATATTTAACTTAACTTAATACTTAATATGATTTCCATATCACTTAACTACTCAACTTAATAAATAAGAACACGTTCGTTTTTCGACTACTTAGAGAAAAGTCGAGTCGAAACGTAAACATCGTTGCACACGTAAACTAATTGCATGCAATTGACCTTTCGTGTTAGTTCGAAATCCTACCACGGAGGCAGCTTCAACGGGTGGCTATATTGGGACTGGGCGGCCAGGAGACCGCGACTGGCGTACACCTGGAGGATATCTGTTGCCTCACTGCTTCGCGGGATTGACCATAAACAGTGTAACATTGTGTAATCCACCAGGTTAGTCAAAACCTCAGTTCGTAGGGTATTTTAAAGTGAAAACTTGATATTTGGAGCTATATATGTGAACCGTAGAAGGAAATAAACTACTTTTTGTCTGTATATGTATCTTAGCATTTTCATTTACTAATCATCCAACAACAGGCGCCCTGGGATACTTTTATTTTGATCCTCGAGTCCCTTGACTCTCCGATAACCGTAGCCGGTGAGTAACGCCCTAAAAAGTGTTATAAAGTGGCTACCCAACGTTGAACCTTAAGTTGCTGGATGTTAGTAGATGAATTAACCTTAATTGTAACTATTTAAGCTGTTAAAAACCCATTTAATATGAAAACTTAGTGAAATTTAATGTTAACATTTTTTTTTCTGATGTAGGTAGATTTAAGTAAGCTTGAGACCAAAGAAAGTTTAACTTGAATGTGATTTATATGTACTTAAATGAATTAAAACTTAACATAATAAAAATATTTGTGCTATTTTAAGTAGATATTTTTAATATCAACCGATTTAAGACTTTCTTATAACCGTCAGTACATTTTAACAAAATGTCGATCCACAAGTATATAGACTCATTACATAAAGATGAAATCAGATATGAACTCGCCATTATTGGTATTTCCACAGATGAAAATGTAACCACCGATGCAGTGAGGAAGCAGATCCGCCATGTGTACAAACTCGCACGCCGTGGAAGCATAAAGTGTGAACCACTCCAGTCACCCAGTATAGCCTCTGAACTAGAGATCTGCACCCCAAAGGTCGAACTTCTGGAATCCCAGCTGCAGGCGGGTAAAGTAGATGATCGCAATTTGACTCTTAAACTGTCTCGTCGTGCAAATTATTTGATGGATAGACTAGCTCGTATCTCTGAAAGTAGTTCGCATTTGTCAGATCTCCGTAGTCGTTTGATTCGCATTTTGAGTGTCATAGACGGTGAAGATAGCGACACGGATAGTGAGTACAAGGAAACCCGGGCACAGCCGTCTAACTAGAAAGTGGAAAGTAACGTGATCTATGTGAAACATAAACCCTTGAACCTAAATACATTTAACTTAAAATTTGACGGAACCACGTGTGTTCGTGTATTTATTGAACGTCTTGAGGAACTTAAAGAGGCTCGCAACATTACTGAAGCTCGCATACTTTCAGCTTTTTCTGATCTTTTAGAAAACTCGGCTTTATGTTGGTTTAGAAGTAATAAGGATAATATCCACTCATATTCACAATTATTGAAATGCTTAAGGGACGACTTTGATATTCCCGATTTAGACTATAAACTATTAAATGAAATAAGGCAGCGTACACAGGCCAGACACGAAACGATAGTAGTCTATCTTTCCATTATGCAGGGAATGTTCTCGCGACTCACTCAGCCGTTGTCGAGTAGACAACAACTCGAAATCTTGATGCATAACATTAGACCAGAGTACATGAAAGATTTAGTTTTACATGATATAACCTCTGTAGACAAACTTAAACTTTATTGCAAACAGTTAGAAATTGCGCGGTCGCGTGCGGAACAATTTAGTGAACCTAACTTGAATAACTTTAAAATTACAGCGGACTTAAATAAACATTTGCCGTGTAGTGGCGGTCAAGAATATCCACTACCCCATATCCACCCGTGGATGTCGTAAAAGGCGACAAAGGGAAACAGGCAGGAGATGGGCAGCAGCATCTTCCTGATAATAGCCAAATTACAATAAAAAAACTGCGGTTGCCAACCCGCTCGCCAAGCGTGGCAACTATGGCAAATACCCCCCTATGAATGACAGTAACAAAGAAACGGCCCCCAGTCCCCGGCGGCCCCGCTATTCCTGGCTACGGTGGCTACCATGGTAACTGCAGGGCAGGGGGTGCTAAGAATCTCCGGTGGAGGTTCGGTTGCCACCTTAGACGACTCGACCTGGCAACGTACAACGCACGCACCCTGAGGACTGACGAGAAGATTGTGGAGCTGGAAGAAGAGATAGACAAGTTGCGCTGGCATATTATAGGATTATCCGAAGTCCGAAGAGAGGGGGAGGACACGGTAATCTTTGAATCCGGCAACTTGCTCTATCATCGGGAGGGCGACCATCTGTCCCAAGGAGGTGTCGGATTTATCGTCCACAAGTCTCTCGTTAACAACGTTGTAAAGATCGGGAGTGTGTCGACGAGGGTTGCGTACCTTATACTCAGAATCACCAAACGGTATTCGCTGAAGGTCATACAGGTTTACGCACCAACCTCGGCACACCCCGATGGGGAGGTGGAGGAAATGTATGAGAATATCTCTAGAGCCATGCATTCCTCCAAAACCCAATATACGGTGTTAATGGGAGACTTCAATGCAAAACTAGGCACAAGAGAGAACGGTGAGCTGAAAGTAGGGAAATTCGGAATAGGGCAACGGAACCCAAGGGGCCAGCAGCTGGCCGACTTCATGGAGAAAGAGGGACTCTTTATGATGAACTCTTTCTTCCAGAAGCGGCCCCACAGGAAGTGGACCTGGTCGAGCCCCGACGGTTCCACAAAAAATGAGATTGACTTCATTATGACGACCAGACGACAACTGTTCAGTGATGTCTCCGTGATCGCGAGGGTGAAAACTGGTAGCGATCATCGAATGGTTAGAGGCACACTGAACCTAAACGTTAAGTTGGAGAGGTCTCGTCTAATGAAGTCAACGCTCCGTCCCCCTCGTGCTCTGTTCCAAAGTCCCGAAACCTTTCAGCTCGAGTTACAAAACCGTTTTCAGTGCCTGGAAGACTGCAATGAAGTGGACGATATGAATGACAAGCTCGTGGAAACTGTCCATGCGGTCGGAGCTAAGTTCTGCAAGACCGGCCGCAGAAGAACACAAAAACTCTCCGATCACACTCTTAATCTCATGGCTGTTAGACGGGAGATGAAGCTACATTCTTCAACAGACTTGACAGCATACAGGCATCTGAACAGACAGATCTCCAAATGCATGCGGCGGGACTTACGCAACTTCAATACAGCTCGTATTGAAGAAGCGATCGAGCGGAACCAAGGCTCCAAAATCTTTGCCAGAGATCTGTCTGCCAGAAAGAGCCAACTGTCAAAGCTGAAGACAGAATGTGGCAGCATCGTTTCCGGGACACCTGAGATTTTGAGTGAGATTGAGAGGTTCTATGGGCAGCTGTACACATCATCGTTGGAGCCACACGCAAGTGTGAGTAACGATCCAAGAGCGAGTCTCATCCGACACTATTCCGAAGATATCCCGGATGTTAGTCTGAGCGAGATAAGGATGGCTCTCTAGCACCTTAAAAACGGTAAGGCCCCAGGCGAGGATGGAATTACAGCGGAGCTTCTG